CCTTTTATTGCCCTATATTACCTTATTGCTCTAAGAGTACCAAAGGACATCTTTGTTTGGCTCTTGTTTACAAAACAAATGCTTTCAGTCTCTCTCCATTGAGATTTATATTGGCCATTGATTTTATATGTTGCTACTGTTGTTAAGTTTCATCCAGTTGGTTCCAACTCATAGCAAACCTGTATAGGGTTTCCAAGGAGTAGGTGGTGAGTTTGAACTGCCAACCTATGGTTCCCACTGATCTTTCAGTTTAGTGTTTATCCTACAGTGCCACACCAGGACTTCATATATACCCTCAATTATGTTGAGGACGTTACTTTCTATTCCTATTTTGTTGTGCATTTTTATAGGAATTTATGTTGGATTTTGTCAAGTGCCTTTATCTGTGTTAGTAGACATCATCATGTGGTTCTTTACTTTTGTTTTATTTATATGGTGAATTGTGTTAGTTGTTAATCTAACATTAAACCATCTTTTCTAATGTTGAACACACATTTTACTGTTGAAGTATGACTGGTTTTAATCCCACTTGATGATGATGTATTATAGTTTTGAAAGTTGTTGGGTTCAATGACTAGAATTTGGTTGAGGATTTTTGTATCCTTGTTCATGAGGGATATTGTGCTATGATTTCTTTTAATTTGCTTGGTTTTGGTATCAGGGTTATGCTCACTTCAAAGAATGAATTTGGGAGAATTCCATGCTTTTTTTTATTTTGGAATAGTTTGAGTAGACATAGTGTCAGATGTCCCCTGAATGTTTGATAGAATTCATCAATGAAGTCATCTAGGCTAGGGCTTTTGTTGTTGTTGTTGTTGTAAATCTTTTAATAATCTGTTCAACTTCTTTTGTTACTGGTCTGTTCTAGGTTTTCTGATTCTATGAATCTTTTCAAAGAACCAACTCTTGTCTTGTTTATTCTACTGTTTTGGTTTTCTGCTCCATTTATTTCTGCTCTAATACTTATTATTTCTTTTCTTCTCATGGCTGTGAGCTTATTTTGATACTTGTTTTCTGTTGGATATTTTGGATTAAGATGTTTATTCTGATTCTTTCTCTTTTTTTGATGTATGTATTTATGGCTATAAATTACTCTTAGAGCATTACTTTGTATACCAAAGATTTTTGATATGTTGCGTTTTCGTTCTTGTTTGATTTAAGAAATTTGTACATTTCATTTTTTACTTCTCCTCTTATCTGGTAGTTTTAAAGAAGGTCATTATTCACTTTCCATGTTTTAACTTTTCCCTTGATTTTCCTATTGCTAATTTGTAATTTTATAGCACTGAAATATGAGAAGATGCTTTGTAGCATTTCAATGTCTTAAAATGTAATAAGCCTTGCTTTGTGGCCTAACAAAGAGCTATTCTAGATAATGTTCCATTATGTTGGAAGATGATATATATGGTGATGCTGCTGAATGGAGTGTTTTGTATATATATATATATGAGTTCAAGTTGGTGATTGTGTTGTTTTATTCTTCTGTGTGTTTGTTCAGTTTCTTTCTAGTTCTGTCCTTCATTAAAAGTGGTGTCTTAAAGTCTTCTACTATTATTGTGAAGTCCTGGTCTTGTGCTGTAGGAACTCTGGAACTGTTAACCAGGAGGTTGATGGCTCAGACCAACCAACCACTCCTCAGAAACCCTATATAAAATAACTATGAATTGGATTGGAATTGACAGTACTTAACAACAACAACATTTTTGTGGAGTTGTCTACTTCTTATTATATACTGTTAAAGTTTGATGTGTGTATATTAAGGCCCTTTCTTTGGGTACATAGATATTTATTATGGTTACATTCTCTTGTTCAATTGACCCTGTAATCATTATAATGTTCTTCTTTGTCTCTTATGCTGATTTTTGTCTTAAAGTCTATTTTATCAGAAATTAGTATTCCTACTTCTCTTTTGTAAATGTTTCCCCATCTTTACATTTTTAATGTATTTTTATATTTGTGTCTAAGGTTTTTCTCTTATAGAAGCCATATTTTTGAATTCTGTTTCCTTATTCATTCTGTTTTTTGCTGTCTTTTGACTGGTGCATTTAATGCATTTACATTCAGTATAATTATGGATGTTGTTGTTGTTAAATGTTGTTTAATCAGTTCTGATAGGTACAAATTTATTGCTGTTATTTTGCTGGCTTTGTTTTGTGTTACTGCTAGTTTCTTTGTTCTACATGATTTTCTGTGCTGAGTTCATTTTTTATGTGGGTTTTCATATAATTTCCTTCATTGCTATTTTGTAGTGTTTGCTATAACTTTGATTCTCATTTTTTTTTATTTTAATGAGAAAACTCATTAATTTTCTTTGAGATTACCTTATGATTTATTATTTTATTCTCAAGTTTATAGCAGTCTATTCTATCTTGAAATCAACCTGACTTTCTCTACATTTGTTAGTTCTGTAAATACACTATTTAGTCTTTTTTTTTTTTTTTTTTCACTTTGCAGTTGTCTTCATTTATGAGTCAGTTCCAACTCATAGCAACTCTGTATAGGGTTTCCAAGTAGCAATTGGTGGGTTTGAAATGCCCACCTGTGGTTCACAATCCAGTGCTGACCCTACAGAGCCACACCAGGAAACTTCTATATCTGGATTGGTTTCTGGATAATGTCATGTGTGTTAATCACAGTTTGATGATTCCCTGTCTGAGTGACTTCCCTTATCATTTCTTATAACATTGGTATGGTTTTTACAATTTCCTTCATTTTTTGTTTATCTGAAATAATCTTAATTTCACTGTCATATTTGAGAGACAGTTTTGTTGAGAATATAATTCTTGGTTGGCACTTTTTTTTTTTTTTTTCTTTCAGAGTTTTAGATATGTCATTCCATTGTCTTCTTGCCTGTATGATTTCTGCCAGGAAATCAGAGTTTAATCTTTCTGGTTCTTTTTTATAAGTAACTTTTTATTTTTCCTAAGTTGCTTTCAAGACTCTTCCCTTATCTTTGGTTTTAGAAAATTGTATTATATATCTCGGTGATTTTCTTTTAGGGTCTATTCTGTTTTGAGTTCCTTGAGCTTCTTGGCTTTGAAAATATATGGGAAATTTCATTCTAAAAAATCTTTGACAATTTTTTCCTAGTGTCTGAGGTTTTTTGTTTTGTTTTGTCTCTTCCTGTTTTGGAATTCTGATCACATGCAAGTTGTTTCTCTTGATGGTGTCCTACATAAATCTCAGGTTTTCCTCTTCATTATAATTTATTTTTTTAAAATTATTCTTCTAGAATATTAGTGTTAAGAAATTTGTCTTCAGTATTTCTATTTCTGTGTTCCTTCAATTCTACTACTTTGTCTATTCAATGTTATCTTTTTCTGAATTCTTAGTATTAATCTTCTGGATTTCTATTTGCTCTTTTTATTTGGATTATACTTTTTCATATATTTTGTCAGTTTGTTCTTGTACTGTTTTTACTGAATTCTTCTAGAGTTTTGTCTGTGTTTTCCTTAAAATAATTTTGTTTGAAATTTCCCCAATCTTTCTCTCAATCTGTTGAATGCTACTAAAAAATATTTTCTTGGGTCCGTTATCAAGTAAATATAATACCACTTTTCCCCTAAGGAGGTTATCAGCTCTGTACTTTGGTAACTTGTTTGAGCCAGTCTTCTTTCTTCATATGAACTGTGGTTATCTGATGTTTCTCTGTACCTTTACATATGCAGTAGCCTTTCCTTCTTTTCTAGATATTGAGCTTGCACATTATACAGTCTGAATTCTGACAAATGTCTTCAAAACTGTTGATTTTTGTTTTATAAGGTGCTTAAACCTGACTTGACTGAAGCTCTAAAATTTTCTTCACCATGGAAGACTGCAGCTGAAAAACTTTAAGTAGTTCTTTTAGTTTCTTTGGAGCCTCAAACACATGGAGTCACTAGGAGGTGACTAGATAAATATAAAAAATAAATAGCTGAAGGTAAGAGAGATGGAAAGTGATGCTTATATCATTTTACCTGTAGACTGTGATGACCTGTTGAATGAGAGGGAAGCAAGATGTAACATATCTTTTCAATGTTTAATTTGGTCACAAGTTCCCAGTGTGACAATGAGCAGAGAAACAAAGCCCTGCCCCATGAATCCTTTGCCCTGGGATTCATAGAACTGGAGTGGCTAGGTTGTTCATCAACATAAACTGGGGTAAAAACTCCAGGGTCTCTTTAGTGGATGGTGCTGAGCTCAGGTTTGAGCATGTTGAGTTGGAAGTGCCTGTAGCTCACTAAGCCAGAAGGACTTAGGGTTCCTAGGTCTTATGTTCAAGAATGAGATGTCCTGGAGGAATGTCAAACTCGTGACAGCATCAGTCAGCAGGTGAGCCACTGTGGTTACAGAGCTAGAAAAAAACTAAAACCAAACAAACATCTACATTGAAAGAGGAATGAAAAGAAATGCCCCACCTCACAATAGATGAAAAGAAGTAACTACTGAGGGATGTGAGGGGAGTCTCTCCAAAAGGCTACATCAGAGTGAGAAAGCAGGAACAGCAGGAGCTACAGGATAGAACAGTGCTGCTATGACTGCTGGGGCCAGAAGAGCAGAGGGGCCCTGAATGAGGAGTGTTTCTGGGCTTTCCAGTGCAGGGTGTGACCATGAGGGGTGGAGGAAACAGGTGCCTGAAACAAACCTAGATTACAAAAATTTCTCACTGTAGAAACAAAAGAAAAAGTAAAGGCAGGGTGTGATGTGGTTTGCAGAATTGTGGGAGGGTGGAGGTTAAGGAGATAAGTGGGCTTTCATAAAACAAACCCCCTTATGGTCACCCGTGAAAGCATGAACTGAAGTGAGTGTCATGTAACCCCTTGTTAAACACCTGCAGGTTTTCTGGAGGGGCAGCCAGACTTCATGTGTCATGGATTCTGGTGGGACCACAAAGTCCAACCAAACGCTGGTGATGGAGTTCATCCTGCAGGGATTCTCAGAGCACCCTACACTGCGCCAGCCTCTGTTTGGCTGCTTCCTGGTGCTCTACACTGTGGCTCTCACGGGCAACATTCTCATTGTTACAGTTGTGGGCCATAGTGCTGTCCTCCACAGTCCCATGTACTTCTTCCTGTCCAACTTGGCCACCATGGACATCATCCTCACCTCCACCATCCTTCCCAAGGTGCTGGTGGGTTTGGTTGTGCGAGAAAACACCATCTCCTATGTGGGCTGTATGACCCAGCTCTTCTTCATAGTGTGGTCCGCGTCCTCTGAATTGCTACTGCTTTCAGTCATGGCCTTCGACCGCTACGTGGCCATCTGCCGCCCGCTGCACTACAGCACCATCATGAGTCCACAGTTGTGCGTGGCACTAGCTGTGAGCGTTTGGGGCATCTGCGCCTTCAACTCCTTGCTTAACACCAATCTGACTGCACGACTGACCTTCTGTGGCCCCCGCATCATCACACACTTCTTCTGTGAAATCCCACCGCTGCTGCTCCTCTCCTGTAGCACCACACGAGTGAACAGTATCATGACAGTTTTGGCTGACATCTTTTATGGCTTCATCAATTTCCTGCTCACACTGACATCTTATGGGTACATATTGGCCAGCATCCTGCGCATCCGCTCAGCTGAGGGCAAGCGCCGCGCTTTCTCCACCTGCTCCTCCCACCTCATTGTGGTCTCTGTGTACTACACAGCTGTGTTCTGTGCCTACATCAGCCCTGCCTCCAGCTACAGCCCTGAAAGAAGCAAAGTGGCAGGGGTGCTGTATACTGCGCTGAGTCCCACCCTGAATCCACTCATTTACACGCTGCGGAATGCAGAGGTCCAGAGGGCCCTGAGCAAGCTCCTTCCCTTCTGTAGATGGTGACCTGAGACCAACAACCACTCTCCTTACCTGTCCCCTGCTTGTGGGCAACAGTTCCCAGATGATCCTGGAGTGGGCATTTATCGGGGTTGTAGCTTTCAGGGGTCGCGTGCTTCTTGGAATTTTGGCTACCCTCCCCCAGACTCAGTCCCAGGACACATGAGTCTGTGGAGCTCCTGCTGGAAACTGCCCTGTAAGGTTGGCTTCTCGTGCACATATGACTCCTAAAACTTCCCCAGGGCTTTCTCATTCCAGTTCTTTCCTAGTTGCCTCCCTCCCTCTTCCCACACCCCCAAGAACCAACAGAAAGCCTCACAGTCCAGGGAACCTCCCTTT